ATAGATAAAACTGCATGCCTGTCCATCACTATAAATGTATATTCAGTGCTTATAATATATTTACTTGAATTAGCTACCTAGCTTATATATATTAACTTTTTTTTAGATATATTCATGTGTAAATTAACTAACTGTCAATACAGACTTACACTACACTGGCAACTTCAAACTTTACATGCACTGGAAGCGGTAACCAACGTCCTCTTAAATTTTGAAGAGTGAATATAGAACGTCTAAATATTTTGATATGGAGAGTGTATATGTCTCTAACGTCATCGATACTATTTCCGTCTTTATCTCGAAAGTTCTATTCTCACTTACAAGTCAGAGTTATCTTTCTTTGCCCATTGTCTACACACTAGGTAAATAGGGAAAATGAGGGTACCGAAAATCTGCAAAATGTGGAATCTGATTTCAAAAAAAATTATATATTTAGTATTTGTAGAATAACTTCTGTTATACATAATAATATCTTGAAAAAATATTAAAAAACAAAAAAGTTGAAAATTGACCAAACACAAGTTCACTTCCGGTTCGGACAGGAAGTACCGGAAACACACGAAAACAACTTCGAAACAAAGAAAATGTCATGATCTAATACCCCTGTAACTTTCACATCTTTTCCTCAAACCGTTTCCGAGAAAAATTCCGGACAAAAGTCCATTTAAAAATTGGAAATTCGGCCGTAACTTCGGACCGGAAGTGAATTTTTCAAAAAACGGAATTTTATATAAACTTCATATATTAGCCTACTATCATGTGAAAAATTGTGAAAATCTATCCAACCATCTCTGAGTAATCGCGCTCACAAAATTTGGGAATAATAATAATAATAATAATAATAATAAAAAGAAACAATACAATCACTATAAGTCTTCCGTTGTGAACGGAAGACTTAAAAAGAAACAATACAATCACTATAAGTCTTCCGTTGTGAACGGAAGACTTAATAATAAGAAACAGAGTAAAAACAATATGTTCCCAAACTTCGTTTGGGGAACATAAATATGGCGTGGATCGCTTGATGAGTCTTTATCATTTAATCATTAATTCATATAATTAAACAATTACAATTATTGCTGGGTTTTTTTTGTCAATACTATGATTTATCCACCTGAGGAGTACAACATTCACTGAACCCGAATACGACGCCCGCCGGGCTCGGTGAATATTGTACTGTCTCCTCAGGTGTCTTACTCTTAACACGCATGCAACAATGTAACTACAGTGCAAAAAGAGGCGGATCCCGGCATGTTTATACTGGGAAGAAGAAGAAATGTTGAAAACAAAAGACCGAACTCCAGTATTTCCTCATCCTCACAACGTCAGGTGCCCTGAGTCAATTCGTTGCCGTTGGACCCCTGACTAATTTCATTCGACATCCTACGGGCTGCTTCTCTCATTGAGAAGCACCAATCAGATCGGGCTATCATAAGTTGATTTAAAATGTAAACAGATTTTGAAAAGTTTAAATGTCATTGCATTATAATAGTCTTTCAGATGGCTGCATTTAAAAAAAAACTATACTCAAATTTTCAGGTTATTGTTTATTTGACATCACACATGAAGATTTACACAGTTCAAAGTCATTGTACTGTACTGTATACTTTTAAATAGTTCAGCAATCCAGAGAGGAACAAGACTCAGTTTTAAACACATTAGTTTTTACCTGATTCACATAATTATGAAGTAGATATCAGATTTGATCAAGTATAAGCCTCCACCGTCATTTTATCTTAATAGTTTCTAAGGTGGATGCAACAGAAAAACCACTCAAATTTACATTATTGTCTATTATGATTCACATTGTGAAGCATTATAAAGTTCCACTGTCATTTCACTGCAATGCTCTCAAAAATGACTGCAATAAAAAGTACTCAGATTTACTCCTTTTTTGTTTATTTTATGTCAAATTGTGAAGATTTTCATGCTTTTATTTACTGTCTCAGTGAAAACATATTTGCAAATAGCTATACATAATTCACAAAAGCGTATATCATTTATTGCAAGTACATAAAGAATGAAAAATTGTTGTTACAACAATCAGACCACACATTAAACATCAAAAATAACAGTATAGTCCCTTTCAATGTTATTAAAAACTTTCCACGAAAAAGTACATAAAAATATTGCAAAAACAATTAAAAATTGATTCCAATATAAATATTATCCGAGTCTAAGTGTGAATGTTATATATACATTCATTTAATGGAAATATAAATTGGTCAATTTCAACTGGTGTGGTAAGGGAATTATCTGGCTTAAAAAGAGTTATTCGTATTTACTCCATTACTTTTATAAAATATGAACAACTACATATGCTATGCATGACAGCCATGCATGTGCTAGACAACATATTTTACTGAAAATTACAAAACAATCCATATCGATATACAGCACATTATATGCAAAAAACCTGACAGATTTGCTAAACCTTTTGTATATATTAAAATTCCATCTTATGAAACACATTTGAAAAACATCAGGGCCGGCAAGGCAAATCTATAGATAAAATAATTTTAAAAACTTGTATCCGTTGCCAAGTGCCACTGGATGAAATATGGAGACAACAAATAGTATAGACGTTTCGGCATCTAAACCTAATAAAACACGTTTTGCATATATCTACATATTATGAAAACTTTAATGTTGCTCGCTAGAATGACCAACCTTTAAAACCAGTTCCCTACTACACATCAAAATCAATTTCTAAAGGTCAATCCTTGATCAATACACACTACATGTAAATAAACATCTTGTCATCAATACAATATTTTTCCGCTATGCTATCAAAGCAAGGGAGATACCAAGTTTTCTTCAAAACATCAATAAAGATAGGAAGGACAAGAATTGGAAACTGCAAGGCATTGGTTGAATATCACAGATCCTCCTCAAAAGGACACAGATCCTTAATAAGAAATGGATCCTTAACACTAGCTCCAAGATTCTTCAAACAAGGTCACAGATCCTCAACACAAGTTCACCGATTCTAATCGCAATGTCATAGATCCTCAACACAAGTTCACAGATTCTTATCGCAATGTCATAGATCTTTAACACAAGTTACCAGATTCTTCACATAAGGTCACAGATCCTCAACACAAGTTCATAGATCCTTATCACAACATCCACAAACCCTTACCAGTAGTCCCACACAAGGTCACAGATCCTCAACACAAGTTCACAGATCCTCACATAAAGCCATAGATCCTTCAAACAAGTCACAGATCCTGCACATAAAGTCACAGAACCAAAAATCACAGATCCTCAACAAAAGAATCCTTCACGCAAGCTCAAAATAGAATGACATCTCTCCCTGCATTTCTATTGCTCCATGACATGACATGAAATTATTCTGATGTGTAGCACAGCCTTCTTTGTTCCAAACACATCAAGACAGCTAAGATGGTTTATTTTGATGTGTTCTATCAAGAAAAGAAGAAATTTTACTGTAAAATAAGATCTGAAATACATTTTAACTTCTATTTTAAAAAAAACAAGCTATACTGAGTTTAAATAATATAAAAACAACCAACATTTACTTTTTAATACTGAAACAAAAGGCCCATAGAGCTTTACAGTCACCAGAGTATCTAAGCCAAAATACGTGTTTTTCTTTTTACAAATCTGAAGAGCTCAAATAACAATCTCTCTTGTCTCCAAAGGGCAATGATTAAGACTTTGAATTCATGCTACATTTTGGGATTTTTGAAATTATTTGACAATTTGAAGTTGTTTATTTTTACAGAAGATTTTAATAAAATAACTTTATGAAACAATATACACCCCCTATATATTCCCTCCATTCCTCTCCCCGATTTGATTATGAAATACATGGTACATGTACTAACTGCATATGAATTTCATAATTTCTTGTCAAATTTTTTTTAAAAAGTCTTTTTTATGTCATGTTCAGGAAAATAATGGTTTCTATTCCTGCCTTGGTAGTCACAGTTCGAATAAATATAATTCTTAACCACACGAATAAACAACAAATAAATTGACAATTCGTGGCATTGAAGTACTTTAAAGGAAGAGATTTAAAGAAATGTTCTTCATTTCTCTCTCTCTCTCTCTCTCTTGAGAAGAATTTTTATCTATAGACTTTTCTCTTACATTTCTATGTAAAACTCTGGAGCCCCTCTCTGGTCTCATCATAACACAGATTTGTGGTTGAGAGCATCCTACAAGGCAGAGGCATACGCTTTAATTTTTTCTTCCCTTCAATGTTATGCCAATGCAAGACTTTGAAATATTTCGAAAAACTTTACCCTGAAGTTTCCTAAAAAGAAAACCTTTTCCTTTTTAATTGTTTGCCCTTCAAACATACCATTTTCCCATGGTTGGCTGCAATCGATCCTTGCTCTCAGCAATCCTGTCAACAATGGACTTAAACCTCACAGTCACAGTGGGTTTGAGGCTTGCCTAACCATTGTCCTATTAACATAGAAAGTAAGGATATTATAGAGGTACAGCTAGCTGCTAATAAAAATAAAGGATCCAAAAAGCAACAATGCAGATTTTTTCTTACCACTTTTGCCAATGTTGGCCCCTTATCATAACTGGGCAATGAACTCCTCCTCTTCTGTCAAACAGCCTTTATCCTCCTGTTCATGGGCCCTGCTTCTCCTCTTCTTCTGTTGGTTAGCCTTAATCCTCCTCTTCATAGGTCCTGCTGCTCCTCTTCTTCTGTTGGTCAGCCTTAATCCTCCTCTTCATGGGTCCTGTTGCTCCTCCTCTTCTTCTGTTGGATGACCCTGGTCTTCCTCCTATTCATGGGTCCTGCTGCTCCTCTTCCTCCTCTTCTTCTGTTAGCTTGCCTTACTCCTCTTCTTCGTGGGTCCTGCTGTTTAGCATCTTTTCAAGGAGTCCTGATCCGGATAAATTTAATTGAAAACCAGCTTAGGTGTGCAGAAAGAAGGGCCTAAATGTTACATCTTTGGGTGATGGCTGCAGATAAATGGGAGACAAACTCCTCCTTCCTATAGGATCCAGTAAGATTAAACCTCTTTCTGCTAACAAAGCAAAACCATGACATCAAAGAAATATGAAGACTTCATATCAAGTGAGAAAGAGTCAGTAAAAATTCATAGGGTACAAAGAGCAAGTAGAGTTCCAGTCTTACCTTCACTTGAGGAATTGGCTTCAGTCGATCCTTCCCTTGTGGATTCTTCTTCTGCATAAGAGTTTCTTCCTTACATCTTAATCCATGGTAGTCTAACATTCATGTTGACAAAAACAGTCAAATGTCAATAAATTGCAAATTTCCACAGACACAGCATATCGATAGTTTATTGAGTGCAAGCTGCGTGCATTGCATCTTAACCTCACATCTTGGATTGGCCACAGTCCACCATTGAACTCCTGCTGGCAGGTGATGGTATCCTCCAAACCAGTCTAACCCTGTACTGCAAACAAAAATGCCTACAGGTCAAATCAAAAATAACATTGCCTAAACCAAAAGAGCATAATGGAAGTCAACAGAGTACAAAATGTAGATTACAGAGATAACCGTCATTGATTTGATTGGCTGCAGTCCATCCACAATTCTTTGCACTTCTTCTGGCAGGCCAGAGTCCGCTCGTTATCTCGGGATTAATACCAGTCTAACCCAGACCTTTTAAAATAGTCTGTTGAGAAGTCATAAAATGAGCAAAAACTTGTGAAGTAAATATAAAGAAAGTCCACAGAGTGTGATACGTGCACAATGTATCTTACCGTCCTGGGTTGGTTGCAGTTGACCCCCTGAACACTAGGTACTCGTGTCTTTCAGATGACAGTCTCCTGTTCAGAGCTGGCAAAAAAGATGTTACACTGCATCTCTAAAACAGGAAGACAAGAGTTCACAATCTTTATCAAATGAGAATGAAATAAATCAAGCACAGGTGTTAAAACATGAAAGGATGATGTGACATACGGCCCCCGGTAAATTGACGAAAGATCAAGTGTCCAAATTTTACTCTAATTTTTGCATGCAACTAATCACTGATATTTTTACCCTTATGGAAAACTACTTCTAACAAAAATAGAAGCGTAATTTGGAAGATATAGATCTTTCATTTGGGTAAGGGTATCATGTTTACATCCGACACCCATTGAATTTTGGCCCCGCCCCACTCTTTGAAGCCCTTAAAATATACGAGCGCAAGTAGGTACATTTCTCTCCTTTGGCTGGTCACTGTATTTTATTGAAATCTACCTATATGTGAAAGGAGAAAAATGTACCTAACTGAGATCACATGTTGATTTTTAAAAAATGGTAAAATCTAGCTGACCTTTCCTATTATGACAGATCGACGAAACTATTTTTTCTGATGTAAGAATAAATTCATATGCTAATCGAGGCACTGGCCATACTTTCTAAGTGACCAATCAGCTAAATGAGATGCATTACGAGTGAGTACCACAAAAATACTAAGGAAATTTTATGCTTGGAAAAAAGGCTTTTTTACCCTCTTTTCGATAAACAATTTTTTATGCATTTGAGTCAAAGATTGGGCACGGATCTACAATTTCCCAGCTTTTCAAACAATTGATTTATAAATATACATAATTTAAAGTTTTGTAAAGCGTTTGGTGGGCAATTCGCTAGGTCTACACGTATTCCCAAGTATCAGTGAATACAAGTTTCATGTGCATTTCTTGACCCAGAACGGTAAACGCCGAGGTTCAATGCGTATTATTATGTATAAACAGCCTTGGCTGACCATTAAAAGTTTGAAATATTGTAGAGATAATGTGTAAATTGACCTAAACCAGGTGTCTGTGATAAAATGTAAACATGTAGTAAACGACAGCATGTTTTGTCGTTCTGTCATCGGATTGGACAATTGTTCTCGGTAAGCGACTATGTGCGAAATAATAACAATAGCCATATAAGGTAAATTTCTCGGACATGCATATCCCTCTATTGTACTAAGACCCGCCTATTCTCTTTTCAGAAAAGAAGATATTGTCACAAACCTGGCCGAATGTTGCTGTCATAGGGTCTAAAATATCATAGATAATGCAGTAATCCTTATAATTAAAATGTGTTGGAACTATTGAAACTATTCAAAAGGTGTCGTATTCATTCACTCATGTTTGAAAACTATCAAAATCGTTGTAGATGAAATATAATTCGTCGTAGAAAAAGGGTCCCCAGATAGCAGTTTTGTCACATCATCCTTTACCCTTTCTTCAATGACATGTTGCAGTGTTTCTCTGATCACAAGACCCCTTTTGAAAAAAATGTGGAGTAGCAACTTACAGTGGTAAAAGATATAGCCTAACAATTCTTTCAATAACACAAATATCATGAAGTAAAGAGTACTCTAGTTCCTCTAATCAAGTTTTAATGGAAATCACTCAAATCAGGAATTCAAAAGTGCAACAAAAGCAGCTTCTTACTTACCGCTCTCGCACATGCTGGCTGCACGACAGATTTAGGCAATGGACTCCTCTTCTATAGGTCGGCTGAGGTCCTCCTACGTAGTCCATCGTCCGTGCCCTTAAAAACTGATACAAGTTTAGTAAAAAATCAAAACAATGACACAAATGACAGAAATTCGAATACACGTAATCATCACATGAAAATTAGATGAAAAAAATAAGTTAGATAATGAAGACAGTTAATTCAGGAAAGGGTCAAAAGGGGGAAGGGAAGGGAGAGGTGGACAGGAGGATGGTTAGTTATGTTAGATTAGGGAGGGCAATGAGACAGAAGAAGAGATAGAAAGGAATAAATGAAAAAAAAAAGCTTCTCTATTAGGCTTCCTGGTTGCGGAATTGGTTCCTGGCGCTGCTCTTCTGACGGGCCCTGTCGGTCCGCATCCTGTCAATTGCAAATCAATAGATCAAGGTCTGATAAGGTTAATAGCAATTGGCAGGCTCATGAAAGGGTGCAAGAAGTAGTCTGAATCTTACCGCATCTTCCAGTGTTTGCTGCAGTTGAATGGGATCCCCTCACTACAGGATCTTGGTCAGCTTCTACTCCCGTCTGCAAACAATGCAAAAGAAAGACATCAAAGATACACAAAGACACTTTATATCATGTCAGAAAGTCATAAAAATTCACAGACTGCAAAGAGCAAGTCCACTTCTAATCTTACCCTCACTTGCGGTTATAATGCAAATCAGGAATTCAAAAGTGCAACCAAAGCAGCTTCTTACTCACCGCTTTCACCAATGTTGGCTGCTGGACGGGCAATGGACTCCTCTTCTGTTGGCCGGCCGTCGTCGTCCGTCGTCGTCCATCGTCAGTTGCCCTGAAAATATACAACTGATAGAAGGTTAGTAAAAAATCAAAACAATGACACAAATGACAGAAATTCGAATACACGTAATCATCACATGAAAATTAGATGAAAAAAATAAGTTAGATAATGAAGACAGTTAATTCAGGAAAGGGTCAAAAGGGGGAAGGGAAGGGAGAGGTGGACAGGAGGATGGTTAGTTATGTTAGATTAGGGAGGGCAATGAGACAGAAGAAGAGATAGAAAGGAATAAATGAAAAAAAAAAGCTTCTCTATTAGGCTTCCTGGTTGCGGAATTGGTTCCTGGCGCTGCTCTTCTGACGGGCCCTGTCGGTCCGCATCCTGTCAATTGCAAATCAATAGATCAAGGTCTGATAAGGTTAATAGCAATTGGCAGGCTCATGAAAGGGTGCAAGAAGTAGTCTGAATCTTACCGCATCTTCCAGTGTTTGCTGCAGTTGAATGGGATCCCCTCACTACAGGATCTTGGTCAGCTTCTACTCCCGTCTGCAAACAATGCAAAAGAAAGACATCAAAGATACACAAAGACACTTTATATCATGTCAGAAAGTCATAAAAATTCACAGACTGCAAAGAGCAAGTCCACTTCTAATCTTACCCTCACTTGCGGTTATAATGCAAATCAGGAATTCAAAAGTGCAACCAAAGCAGCTTCTTACTCACCGCTTTCACCAATGTTGGCTGCTGGACGGGCAATGGACTCCTCTTCTGTTGGCCGGCCGTCGTCGTCCGTCGTCGTCCATCGTCAGTTGCCCTGAAAATATACAACTGATAGAAGGTTAGTAAAAAATCAAAACAATGACACAAATGACAGAAATTCGAATACACGTAATCATCACATGAAAATTAGATGAAAAAAATAAGTTAGATAATGAAGACAGTTAATTCAGGAAAGGGTCAAAAGGGGGAAGGGAAGGGAGAGGTGGACAGGAGGATGGTTAGTTATGTTAGATTAGGGAGGGCAATGAGACAGAAGAAGAGATAGAAAGGAATAAATGAAAAAAAAAAGCTTCTCTATTAGGCTTCCTGGTTGCGGAATTGGTTCCTGGCGCTGCTCTTCTGACGGGCCCTGTCGGTCCGCATCCTGTCAATTGCAAATCAATAGATCAAGGTCTGATAAGGTTAATAGCAATTGGCAGGCTCATGAAAGGGTGCAAGAAGTAGTCTGAATCTTACCGCATCTTCCAGTGTTTGCTGCAGTTGAATGGGATCCCCTCACTACAGGATCTTGGTCAGCTTCTACTCCCGTCTGCAAACAATGCAAAAGAAAGACATCAAAGATACACAAAGACACTTTATATCATGTCAGAAAGTCATAAAAATTCACAGACTGCAAAGAGCAAGTCCACTTCTAATCTTACCCTCACTTGCGGTTATAATGCAAATCAGGAATTCAAAAGTGCAACCAAAGCAGCTTCTTACTCACCGCTTTCACCAATGTTGGCTGCTGGACGGGCAATGGACTCCTCTTCTGTTGGCCGGCCGTCGTCGTCCGTCGTCGTCCATCGTCAGTTGCCCTGAAAATATACAACTGATAGAAGGTTAGTAAAAAATCAAAACAATGACACAAATGACAGAAATTCGAATACACGTAATCATCACATGAAAATTAGATGAAAAAAATAAGTTAGATAATGAAGACAGTTAATTCAGGAAAGGGTCAAAAGGGGGAAGGGAAGGGAGAGGTGGACAGGAGGATGGTTAGTTATGTTAGATTAGGGAGGGCAATGAGACAGAAGAAGAGATAGAAAGGAATAAATGAAAAAAAAAAGCTTCTCTATTAGGCTTCCTGGTTGCGGAATTGGTTCCTGGCGCTGCTCTTCTGACGGGCCCTGTCGGTCCGCATCCTGTCAATTGCAAATCAATAGATCAAGGTCTGATAAGGTTAATAGCAATTGGCAGGCTCATGAAAGGGTGCAAGAAGTAGTCTGAATCTTACCGCATCTTCCAGTGTTTGCTGCAGTTGAATGGGATCCCCTCACTACAGGATCTTGGTCAGCTTCTACTCCCGTCTGCAAACAATGCAAAAGAAAGACATCAAAGATACACAAAGACACTTTATATCATGTCAGAAAGTCATAAAAATTCACAGACTGCAAAGAGCAAGTCCACTTCTAATCTTACCCTCACTTGCGGTTATAATGCAAATCAGGAATTCAAAAGTGCAACCAAAGCAGCTTCTTACTCACCGCTTTCACCAATGTTGGCTGCTGGACGGGCAATGGACTCCTCTTCTGTTGGCCGGCCGTCGTCGTCCGTCGTCGTCCATCGTCAGTTGCCCTGAAAATATACAACTGATAGAAGGTTAGTAAAAAATCAAAACAATGACACAAATGACAGAAATTCGAATACACGTAATCATCACATGAAAATTAGATGAAAAAAATAAGCTAGATAATGAAGACAGTTAATTCAGGAAAGGGTCAAAAGGGGGAAGGGAAGGGAGAGGTGGACAGGAGGATGGTTAGTTATGTTAGATTAGGGAGGGCAATGAGACAGAAGAAGAGATAGAAAGGAATAAATGAAAAAAAAAAGCTTCTCTATTAGGCTTCCTGGTTGCGGAATTGGTTCCTGGCGCTGCTCTTCTGACGGGCCCTGTCGGTCCGCATCCTGTCAATTGCAAATCAATAGATCAAGGTCTGATAAGGTTAATAGCAATTGGCAGGCTCATGAAAGGGTGCAAGAAGTAGTCTGAATCTTACCGCATCTTCCAGTGTTTGCTGCAGTTGAATGGGATCCCCTCACTACAGGATCTTGGTCAGCTTCTACTCCCGTCTGCAAACAATGCAAAAGAAAGACATCAAAGATACACAAAGACACTTTATATCATGTCAGAAAGTCATAAAAATTCACAGACTGCAAAGAGCAAGTCCACTTCTAATCTTACCCTCACTTGCGGTTATAATGCAAATCAGGAATTCAAAAGTGCAACCAAAGCAGCTTCTTACTCACCGCTTTCACCAATGTTGGCTGCTGGACGGGCAATGGACTTCTCTTCTGTTGGCCGGCCGTCGTCGTCCGTCGTCGTCCATCGTCAGTTGCCCTGAAAATATACAACTGATAGAAGGTTAGTAAAAAATCAAAACAATGACACAAATGACAGAAATTCGAATACACGTAATCATCACATGAAAATTAGATGAAAAAAATAAGTTAGATAATGAAGACAGTTAATTCAGGAAAGGGTCAAAAGGGGGAAGGGAAGGGAGAGGTGGACAGGAGGATGGTTAGTTATGTTAGATTAGGGAGGGCAATGAGACAGAAGAAGAGATAGAAAGGAATAAATGAAAAAAAAAAGCTTCTCTATTAGGCTTCCTGGTTGCGGAATTGGTTCCTGGCGCTGCTCTTCTGACGGGCCCTGTCGGTCCGCATCCTGTCAATTGCAAATCAATAGATCAAGGTCTGATAAGGTTAATAGCAATTGGCAGGCTCATGAAAGGGTGCAAGAAGTAGTCTGAATCTTACCGCATCTTCCAGTGTTTGCTGCAGTTGAATGGGATCCCCTCACTACAGGATCTTGGTCAGCTTCTACTCCCGTCTGCAAACAATGCAAAAGAAAGACATCAAAGATACACAAAGACACTTTATATCATGTCAGAAAGTCATAAAAATTCACAGACTGCAAAGAGCAAGTCCACTTCTAATCTTACCCTCACTTGCGGTTATAATGCAAATCAGGAATTCAAAAGTGCAACCAAAGCAGCTTCTTACTCACCGCTTTCACCAATGTTGGCTGCTGGACGGGCAATGGACTTCTCTTCTGTTGGCCGGCCGTCGTCGTCCGTCGTCGTCCATCGTCAGTTGCCCTGAAAATATACAACTGATAGAAGGTTAGTAAAAAATCAAAACAATGACACAAATGACAGAAATTCGAATACACGTAATCATCACATGAAAATTAGATGAAAAAAATAAGTTAGATAATGAAGACAGTTAATTCAGGAAAGGGTCAAAAGGGGGAAGGGAAGGGAGAGGTGGACAGGAGGATGGTTAGTTATGTTAGATTAGGGAGGGCAATGAGACAGAAGAAGAGATAGAAAGGAATAAATAAAATAAAAAAGCTTCTCTATTAGGCTTCCTGGTTGCGGAATTGGTTCCTGACGCTGCTCTTCTGACGGGCCCTGTCGGTCCGCATCCTGTCAATTGCAAATCAATAGATCAAGGTCTGATAAGGTTAATAGCAATTGGCAGGCTCATGAAAGGGTGCAAGAAGTAGTCTGAATCTTACCGCATCTTCCAGTGTTTGCTGCAGTTGAATGGGATCCCCTCACTACAGGATCTTGGTCAGCTTCTACTCCCGTCTGCAAACAATGCAAAAGAAAGACATCAAAGATACACAAAGACACTTTATATCATGTCAGAAAGTCATAAAAATTCACAGACTGCAAAGAGCAAGTCCACTTCTAATCTTACCCTCACTTGCGGTTATAATGCAAATCAGGAATTCAAAAGTGCAACCAAAGCAGCTTCTTACTCACCGCTTTCACCAATGTTGGCTGCTGGACGGGCAATGGACTCCTCTTCTGTTGGCCGGCCGTCGTCGTCCGTCGTCGTCCATCGTCAGTTGCCCTGAAAATATACAACTGATAGAAGGTTAGTAAAAAATCAAAACAATGACACAAATGACAGAAATTCGAATACACGTAATCATCACATGAAAATTAGATGAAAAAAATAAGTTAGATAATGAAGACAGTTAATTCAGGAAAGGGTCAAAAGGGGGAAGGGAAGGGAGAGGTGGACAGGAGGATGGTTAGTTATGTTAGATTAGGGAGGGCAATGAGACAGAAGAAGAGATAGAAAGGAATAAATGAAAAAAAAAAGCTTCTCTATTAGGCTTCCTGGTTGCGGAATTGGTTCCTGGCGCTGCTCTTCTGACGGGCCCTGTCGGTCCGCATCCTGTCAATTGCAAATCAATAGATCAAGGTCTGATAAGGTTAATAGCAATTGGCAGGCTCATGAAAGGGTGCAAGAAGTAGTCTGAATCTTACCGCATCTTCCAGTGTTTGCTGCAGTTGAATGGGATCCCCTCACTACAGGATCTTGGTCAGCTTCTACTCCCGTCTGCAAACAATGCAAAAGAAAGACATCAAAGATACACAAAGACACTTTATATCATGTCAGAAAGTCATAAAAATTCACAGACTGCAAAGAGCAAGTCCACTTCTAATCTTACCCTCACTTGCGGTTATAATGCAAATCAGGAATTCAAAAGTGCAACCAAAGCAGCTTCTTACTCACCGCTTTCACCAATGTTGGCTGCTGGACGGGCAATGGACTCCTCTTCTGTTGGCCGGCCGTCGTCGTCCGTCGTCGTCCATCGTCAGTTGCCCTGAAAATATACAACTGATAGAAGGTTAGTAAAAAATCAAAACAATGACACAAATGACAGAAATTCGAATACACGTAATCATCACATGAAAATTAGATGAAAAAAATAAGTTAGATAATGAAGACAGTTAATTCAGGAAAGGGTCAAAAGGGGGAAGGGAAGGGAGAGGTGGACAGGAGGATGGTTAGTTATGTTAGATTAGGGAGGGCAATGAGACAGAAGAAGAGATAGAAAGGAATAAATGAAAAAAAAAAGCTTCTCTATTAGGCTTCCTGGTTGCGGAATTGGTTCCTGGCGCTGCTCTTCTGACGGGCCCTGTCGGTCCGCATCCTGTCAATTGCAAATCAATAGATCAAGGTCTGATAAGGTTAATAGCAATTGGCAGGCTCATGAAAGGGTGCAAGAAGTAGTCTGAATCTTACCGCATCTTCCAGTGTTTGCTGCAGTTGAATGGGATCCCCTCACTACAGGATCTTGGTCAGCTTCTACTCCCGTCTGCAAACAATGCAAAAGAAAGACATCAAAGATACACAAAGACACTTTATATCATGTCAGAAAGTCATAAAAATTCACAGACTGCAAAGAGCAAGTCCACTTCTAATCTTACCCTCACTTGCGGTTATAATGCAAATCAGGAATTCAAAAGTGCAACCAAAGCAGCTTCTTACTCACCGCTTTCACCAATGTTGGCTGCTGGACGGGCAATGGACTTCTCTTCTGTTGGCCGGCCGTCGTCGTCCGTCGTCGTCCATCGTCAGTTGCCCTGAAAATATACAACTGATAGAAGGTTAGTAAAAAATCAAAACAATGACACAAATGACAGAAATTCGAATACACGTAATCATCACATGAAAATTAGATGAAAAAAATAAGTTAGATAATGAAGACAGTTAATTCAGGAAAGGGTCAAAAGGGGGAAGGGAAGGGAGAGGTGGGCAGGAGGATGGTTAGTTATGTTAGATTAGGGAGGGCAATGAGACAGAAGAAGAGATAGAAAGGAATAAATAAAAAAAAAAGCTTCTCTATTAGGCTTCCTGGTTGCGGAATTGGTTCCTGGCGCTGCTCTTCTGACGGGCCCTGTCGGTCCGCATCCTGTCAATTGCAAATCAATAGATCAAGGTCTGATAAGGTTAATAGCAATTGGCAGGCTCATGAAAGGGTGCAAGAAGTAGTCTGAATCTTACCGCATCTTCCAGTGTTTGCTGCAGTTGAATGGGATCCCCTCACTACAGGATCTTGGTCAGCTTCTACTCCCGTCTGCAAACAATGCAAAAGAAAGACATCAAAGATACACAAAGACACTTTATATCATGTCAGAAAGTCATAAAAATTCACAGACTGCAAAGAGCAAGTCCACTTCTAATCTTACCCTCACTTGCGGTTATAATGCAAATCAGGAATTCAAAAGTGCAACCAAAGCAGCTTCTTACTCACCGCTTTCACCAATGTTGGCTGCTGGACGGGCAATGGACTCCTCTTCTGTTGGCCGGCCGTCGTCGTCCGTCGTCGTCCATCGTCAGTTGCCCTGAAAATATACAACTGATAGAAGGTTAGTAAAAAATCAAAACAATGACACAAATGACAGAAATTCGAATACACGTAATCATCACATGAAAATTAGATGAAAAAAATAAGTTAGATAATGAAGACAGTTAATTCAGGAAAGGGTCAAAAGGGGGAAGGGAAGGGAGAGGTGGACAGGAGGATGGTTAGTTATGTTAGATTAGGGAGGGCAATGAGACAGAAGAAGAGATAGAAAGGAATAAATGAAAAAAAAAAGCTTCTCTATTAGGCTTCCTGGTTGCGGAATTGGTTCCTGGCGCTGCTCTTCTGACGGGCCCTGTCGGTCCGCATCCTGTCAATTGCAAATCAATAGATCAAGGTCTGATAAGGTTAATAGCAATTGGCAGGCTCATGAAAGGGTGCAAGAAGTAGTCTGAATCTTACCGCATCTTCCAGTGTTTGCTGCAGTTGAATGGGATCCCCTCACTACAGGATCTTGGTCAGCTTCTACTCCCGTCTGCAAACAATGCAAAAGAAAGACATCAAAGATACACAAAGACACTTTATATCATGTCAGAAAGTCATAAAAATTCACAGACTGCAAAGAGCAAGTCCACTTCTAATCTTACCCTCACTTGCGGTTATAATGCAAATCAGGAATTCAAAAGTGCAACCAAAGCAGCTTCTTACTCACCGCTTTCACCAATGTTGGCTGCTGGACGGGCAATGGACTTCTCTTCTGTTGGCCGGCCGTCGTCGTCCGTCGTCGTCCATCGTCAGTTGCCCTGAAAATATACAACTGATAGAAGGTTAGTAAAAAATCAAAACAATGACACAAATGACAGAAATTCGAATACACGTAATCATCACATGAAAATTAGATGAAAAAAATAAGTTAGATAATGAAGACAGTTAATTCAGGAAAGGGTCAAAAGGGGGAAGGGAAGGGAGAGGTGGGCAGGAGGATGGTTAGTTATGTTAGATTAGGGAGGGCAATGAGACAGAAGAAGAGATAGAAAGGAATAAATAAAAAAAAAGCTTCTCTATTAGGCTTCCTGGTTGCGGAATTGGTTCCTGGCGCTGCTCTTCTGACGGGCCCTGTCGGTCCGCATCCTGTCAATTGCAAATCAATAGATCAAGGTCTGATAAGGTTAATAGCAATTGGCAGGCTCATGAAAGGGTGCAAGAAGTAGTCTGAATCTTACCGCATCTTCCAGTGTTTGCTGCAGTTGAATGGGATCCCCTCACTACAGGATCTTGGTCAGCTTCTACTCCCGTCTGCAAACAATGCAAAAGAAAGACATCAAAGATACACAAAGACACTTTATATCATGTCAGAAAGTCATAAAAATTCACAGACTGCAAAGAGCAAGTCCACTTCTAATCTTACCCTCACTTGCGGTTATAATGCAAATCAGGAATTCAAAAGTGCAACCAAAGCAGCTTCTTACTCACCGCTTTCACCAATGTTGGCTGCTGGACGGGCAATGGACTTCTCTTCTGTTGGCCGGCCGTCGTCGTCCGTCGTCGTCCATCGTCAGTTGCCCTGAAAATATACAACTGATAGAAGGTTAGTAAAAAATCAAAACAATGACACAAATGACAGAAATTCGAATACACGTAATCATCACATGAAAATTAGATGAAAAAAATAAGTTAGATAATGAAGACAGTTAATTCAGGAAAGGGTCAAAAGGGGGAAGGGAAGGGAGAGGTGGGCAGGAGGATGGTTAGTTATGTTAGATTAGGGAGGGCAATGAGACAGAAGAAGAGATAGAAAGGAATAAATTAAAAAAAAGCTTCTCTATTAGGCTTCCTGGTTGCGGAATTGGTTCCTGGCGCTGCTCTTCTGACGGGCCCTGTCGGTCCGCATCCTGTCAATTGCAAATCAATAGATCAAGGTCTGATAAGGTTAATAGCAATTGGCAGGCTCATGAAAGGGTGCAAGAAGTAGTCTGAATCTTACCGCATCTTCCAGTGTTTGCTGCAGTTGAATGGGATCCCCTCACTACAGGATCTTGGTCAGCTTCTACTCCCGTCTGCAAACAATGCAAAAGAAAGACATCAAAGATACACAAAGACACTTTATATCATGTCAGAAAGTCATAAAAATTCACAGACTGCAAAGAGCAAGTCCACTTCTAATCTTACCCTCACTTGCGGTTATAATGCAAATCAGGAATTCAAAAGTGCAACCAAAGCAGCTTCTTACTCACCGCTTTCACCAATGTTGGCTGCTGGACGGGCAATGGACTTCTCTTCTGTTGGCCGGCCGTCGTCGTCCGTCGTCGTCCATCGTCAGTTGCCCTGAAAATATACAACTGATAGAAGGTTAGTAAAAAATCAAAACAATGACACAAATGACAGAAATTCGAATACACGTAATCATCACATGAAAATTAGATGAAAAAAATAAGTTAGATAATGAAGACAGTTAATTCAGGAAAGGGTCAAAAGGGGGAAGGGAAGGGAGAGGTGGACAGGAGGATGGTTAGTTATGTTAGATTAGGGAGGGCAATGAGACAGAAGAAGAGATAGAAAGGAATAAATGAAAAAAAAAAGCTTCTCTATTAGGCTTCCTGGTTGCGGAATTGGTTCCTGACGCTGCTCTTCTGACGGGCCCTGTCGGTCCGCATCCTGTCAATTGCAAATCAATAGATCAAGGTCTGATAAGGTTAATAGCAATTGGCAGGCTCATGAAAGGGTGCAAGAAGTAGTCTGAATCTTACCGCATCTTCCAGTGTTTGCTGCAGTTGAATGGGATCCCCTCACTACAGGATCTTGGTCAGCTTCTACTCCCGTCTGCAAACAATGCAAAAGAAAGACATCAAAGATACACAAAGACACTTTATATCATGTCAGAAAGTCATAAAAATTCACAGACTGCAAAGAGCAAGTCCACTTCTAATCTTACCCTCACTTGCGGTTATAATGCAAATCAGGAATTCAAAAGTGCAACCAAAGCAGCTTCTTACTCACCGCTTTCACCAATGTTGGCTGCTGGACGGGCAATGGACTCCTCTTCTGTTGGCCGGCCGTCGTCGTCCGTCGTCGTCCATCGTCAGTTGCCCTGAAAATATACAACTGATAGAAGGTTAGTAAAAAATCAAAACAATGACACAAATGACAGAAATTCGAATACACGTAATCATCACATGAAAATTAGATGAAAAAAATAAGTTAGATAATGAAGACAGTTAATTCAGGAAAGGGTCAAAAGGGGGAAGGGAAGGGAGAGGTGGACAGGGGGATGGTTAGTTATGTTAGATTAGGGAGGGCAATGAGACAGAAGAAGAGATAGAAAGGAATAAATAAAATAAAAAAGCTTCTCTATTAGGCTTCCTGGTTGCGGAATTGGTTCCTGACGCTGCTCTTCTGACGGGCCCTGTCGGTCCGCATCCTGTCAATTGCAAATCAATAGATCAAGGTCTGATAAGGTTAATAGCAATTGGCAGGCTCATGAAAGGGTGCAAGAAGTAGTCTGAATCTTACCGCATCTTCCAGTGTTTGCTGCAGTTGAATGGGATCCCCTCACTACAGGATCTTGGTCAGCTTCTACTCCCGTCTGCAAACAATGCAAAAGAAAGACATCAAAGATACACAAAGACACTTTATATCATGTCAGAAAGTCATAAAAATTCACAGACTGCAAAGAGCAAGTCCACTTCTAATCTTACCCTCACTTGCGGTTATAATGCAAATCAGGAATTCAAAAGTGCAACCAAAGCAGCTTCTTACTCACCGCTTTCACCAATGTTGGCTGCTGGACGGGCAATGGACTCCTCTTCTGTTGGCCGGCCGTCGTCGTCCGTCGTCGTCCATCGTCAGTTGCCCTGAAAATATACAACTGATAGAAGGTTAGTAAAAAATCAAAACAATGACACAAATGACAGAAATTCGAATACACGTAATCATCACATGAAAATTAGATGAAAAAAATAAGTTAGATAATGAAGACAGTTAATTCAGGAAAGGGTCAAAAGGGGGAAGGGAAGGGAGAGGTGGACAGGAGGATGGTTAGTTATGTTAGATTAGGGAGGGCAATGAGACAGAAGAAGAGATAGAAAGGAATAAATAAAATAAAAAAGCTTCTCTATTAGGCTTCCTGGTTGCGGAATTGGTTCCTGACGCTGCTCTTCTGACGGGCCCTGTCGGTCCGCATCCTGTCAATTGCAAATCAATAGATCAAGGTCTGATAAGGTTAATAGCAATTGGCAGGCTCATGAAAGGGTGCAAGAAGTAGTCTGAATCTTACCGCATCTTCCAGTGTTTGCTGCAGTTGAATGGGATCCCCTCACTACAGGATCTTGGTCAGCTTCTACTCCCGTCTGCAAACAATGCAAAAGAAAGACATCAAAGATACACAAAGACACTTTATATCATGTCAGAAAGTCATAAAAATTCACAGACTGCAAAGAGCAAGTCCACTTCTAATCTTACCCTCACTTGCGGTTATAATGCAAATCAGGAATTCAAAAGTGCAACCAAAGCAGCTTCTTACTCACCGCTTTCACCAATGTTGGCTGCTGGACGGGCAATGGACTCCTCTTCTGTTGGCCGGCCGTCGTCGTCCGTCGTCGTCCATCGTCAGTTGCCCTGAAAATATACAACTGATAGAAGGTTAGTAAAAAATCAAAACAATGACACAAATGACAGAAATTCGAATACACGTAATCATCACATGAAAATTAGATGAAAAAAATAAGTTAGATAATGAAGACAGTTAATTCAGGAAAGGGTCAAAAGGGGGAAGGGAAGGGAGAGGTGGACAGGAGGATGGTTAGTTATGTTAGATTAGGGAGGGCAATGAGACAGAAGAAGAGATAGAAAGGAATAAATAAAATAAAAAAGCTTCTCTATTAGGCTTCCTGGTTGCGGAATTGGTTCCTGACGCTGCTCTTCTGACGGGCCCTGTCGGTCCGCATCCTGTCAATTGCAAATCAATAGATCAAGGTCTGATAAGGTTAATAGCAATTGGCAGGCTCATGAAAGGGTGCAAGAAGTAGTCTGAATCTTACCGCATCTTCCAGTGTTTGCTGCAGTTGAATGGGATCCCCTCACTACAGGATCTTGGTCAGCTTCTACTCCCGTCTGCAAACAATGCAAAAGAAAGACATCAAAGATACACAAAGACACTTTATATCATGTCAGAAAGTCATAAAAATTCACAGACTGCAAAGAGCAAGTCCACTTCTAATCTTACCCTCACTTGCGGTTATAATGCAAATCAGGAATTCAAAAGTGCAACCAAAGCAGCTTCTTACTCACCGCTTTCACCAATGTTGGCTGCTGGACGGGCAATGGACTTCTCTTCTGTTGGCCGGCCGTCGTCGTCCGTCGTCGTCCATTGTCAGTTGCCCTGAAAATATACAACTGATAGAAGGTTAGTAAAAAATCAAAACAATGACACAAATGACAGAAATTCGAATACACGTAATCATCACATGAAAATTAGATGAAAAAAATAAGTTAGATAATGAAGACAGTTAATTCAGGAAAGGGTCAAAAGGGGGAAGGGAAGGGAGAGGTGGACAGGAGGATGGTTAGTTATGTTAGATTAGGGAGGGCAATGAGACAGAAGAAGAGATAGAAAGGAATAAATTAAAAAAAAAGCTTCTCTATTAGGCTTCCTGGTTGCGGAATTGGTTCCTGGCGCTGCTCTTCTGACGGGCCCTGTCGGTCCGCATCCTGTCAATTGCAAATCAATAGATCAAGGTCTGATAAGGTTAATAGCAATTGGCAGGCTCATGAAAGGGTGCAAGAAGTAGTCTGAATCTTACCGCATCTTCCAGTGTTTGCTGCAGTTGAATGGGATCCCCTCACTACAGGATCTTGGTCAGCTTCTACTCCCGTCTGCAAACAATGCAAAAGAAAGACATCAAAGATACACAAAGACACTTTATATCATGTCAGAAAGTCATAAAAATTCACAGACTGCAAAGAGCAAGTCCACTTCTAATCTTACCCTCACTTGCGGTTATAATGCAAATCAGGAATTCAAAAGTGCAACCAAAGCAGCTTCTTACTCACCGCTTTCACCAATGTTGGCTGCTGGACGGGCAATGGACTTCTCTTCTGTTGGCCGGCCGTCGTCGTCCGTCGTCGTCCATCGTCAGTTGCCCTGAAAATATACAACTGATAGAAGGTTAGTAAAAAATCAAAACAATGACACAAATGACAGAAATTCGAATACACGTAATCATCACATGAAAATTAGATGAAAAAAATAAGTTAGATAATGAAGACAGTTAATTCAGGAAAGGGTCAAAAGGGGGAAGGGAAGGGAGAGGTGGACAGGAGGATGGTTAGTTATGTTAGATTAGGGAGGGCAATGAGACAGAAGAAGAGATAGAAAGGAATAAATAAAAAAAAAAAACTTCTCTATTAGGCTTCCTGGTTGCGGAATTGGTTCCTGGCGCTGCTCTTCTGACGGGCCCTGTCGGTCCGCATCCTGTCAATTGCAAATCAATAGATCAAGGTCTGATAAGGTTAATAGCAATTGGCAGGCTCATGAAAGGGTGCAAGAAGTAGTCTGAATCTTACCGCATCTTCCAGTGTTTGCTGCAGTTGAATGGGATCCCCTCACTACAGGATCTTGGTCAGCTTCTACTCCCGTCTGCAAACAATGCAAAAGAAAGACATCAAAGATACACAAAGACACTTTATATCATGTCAGAAAGTCATAAAAATTCACAGACTGCAAAGAGCAAGTCCACTTCTAATCTTACCCTCACTTGCGGTTATAATGCAAATCAGGAATTCAAAAGTGCAACCAAAGCAGCTTCTTACTCACCGCTTTCACCAATGTTGGCTGCTGGACGGGCAATGGACTCCTCTTCTGTTGGCCGGCCGTCGTCGTCCGTCGTCGTCCATCGTCAGTTGCCCTGAAAATATACAACTGATAGAAGGTTAGTAAAAAATCAAAACAATGACACAAATGACAGAAATTCGAATACACGTAATCATCACATGAAAATTAGATGAAAAAAATAAGTTAGATAATGAAGACAGTTAATTCAGGAAAGGGTCAAAAGGGGGAAGGGAAGGGAGAGGTGGACAGGAGGATGGTTAGTTATGTTAGATTAGGGAGGGCAATGAGACAGAAGAAGAGATAGAAAGGAATAAATAAAATAAAAAAGCTTCTCTATTAGGCTTCCTGGTTGCGGAATTGGTTCCTGACGCTGCTCTTCTGACGGGCCCTGTCGGTCCGCATCCTGTCAATTGCAAATCAATAGATCAAGGTCTGATAAGGTTAATAGCAATTGGCAGGCTCATGAAAGGGTGCAAGAAGTAGTCTGAATCTTACCGCATCTTCCAGTGTTTGCTGCAGTTGAATGGGATCCCCTCACTACAGGATCTTGGTCAGCTTCTACTCCCGTCTGCAAACAATGCAAAAGAAAGACATCAAAGATACACAAAGACACTTTATATCATGTCAGAAAGTCATAAAAATTCACAGACTGCAAAGAGCAAGTCCACTTCTAATCTTACCCTCACTTGCGGTTATAATGCAAATCAGGAATTCAAAAGTGCAACCAAAGCAGCTTCTTACTCACCGCTTTCACCAATGTTGGCTGCTGGACGGGCAATGGACTTCTCTTCTGTTGGCCGGCCGTCGTCGTCCGTCGTCGTCCATCGTCAGTTGCCCTGAAAATATACAACTGATAGAAGGTAAGTAAAAAATCAAAACAATGACACAAATGACAGAAATTCGAATACACGTAATCATCACATGAAAATTAGATGAAAAAAATAAGTTAGATAATGAAGACAGTTAATTCAGGAAAGGGTCAAAAGGGGGAAGGGAAGGGAGAGGTGGACAGGAGGATGGTTAGTTATGTTAGATTAGGGAGGGCAATGAGACAGAAGAAGAGATAGAAAGGAATAAATAAAAAAAAAGCTTCTCTATTAGGCTTCCTGGTTGCGGAATTGGTTCCTGGCGCTGCTCTTCTGACGGGCCCTGTCGGTCCGCATCCTGTCAATTGCAAATCAATAGATCAAGGTCTGATAAGGTTAATAGCAATTGGCAGGCTCATGAAAGGGTGCAAGAAGTAGTCTGAATCTTACCGCATCTTCCAGTGTTTGCTGCAGTTGAATGGGATCCCCTCACTACAGGATCTTGGTCAGCTTCTACTCCCGTCTGCAAACAATGCAAAAGAAAGACATCAAAGATACACAAAGACACTTTATATCATGTCAGAAAGTCATAAAAATTCACAGACTGCAAAGAGCAAGTCCACTTCTAATCTTACCCTCACTTGCGGTTATAATGCAAATCAGGAATTCAAAAGTGCAACCAAAGCAGCTTCTTACTCACCGCTTTCACCAATGTTGGCTGCTGGACGGGCAATGGACTTCTCTTCTGTTGGCCGGCCGTCGTCGTCCGTCGTCGTCCATCGTCAGTTGCCCTGAAAATATACAACTGATAGAAGGTTAGTAAAAAATCAAAACAATGACACAAATGACAGAAATTCGAATACACGTAATCATCACATGAAAATTAGATGAAAAAAATAAGTTAGATAATGAAGACAGTTAATTCAGGAAAGGGTCAAAAGGGGGAAGGGAAGGGAGAGGTGGGCAGGAGGATGGTTAGTTATGTTAGATTAGGGAGGGCAATGAGACAGAAGAAGAGATAGAAAGGAATAAATTAAACAAGAGGCCCATGGGCCACATCGCTCACCTGAGCACATTGGCAAGGCAAAAGCACAAATCAGTTCAGTATTGAAGTATTGAAAAGATTACTTGGGGGGGGGGGGGGGGGGGGGCTTGAATTTTAAACTACCTGATGATGCTTCCATGTCAATATATAATTTGTTTTAACAAATGGCTTTGTTGTACTTGAGAAGATTTTTTAAAAAAATTCCCATATATTCCTCTGTAAAAATTTGATCCCCCATTGTGGCTCCTCTCTATCCCAGGGGTCATCATTTGAACAAACTTGAATCTACACTACCTGAGGATGGTTCCATATCAATATGACTAAACATAGCTTTTCTGTTCTTGAGAAGAAATTTTTTTCTATATGTTCCTATGTAAAACTTTCGATCCCCTTATTGGGCCCCACCCTACCCTCGGGGGTCATCATTTGAACAAAATTGAATTTACACTACCTGAGGATGCTTCCATATCAAATTGACTAAACATGATTTTCAGTTCTTGAGAAGAAGATATTTTCCTATATGTTCCTATGTAAAATTTTCGATCCCCCATTATGGCCCATCCCTATTCCCTGGGGTCATCATTTGAACAAACTTGAATCTACACTACCTGAGGATGCTTCCATATCAATATGACTAAACATAGCTTTTCTGTTCTTGAGAAGAAATTTTTTTCTATATGTTCCTATGTAAAACTTTCGATCCCCTTATTGGGCCCCACCCTACCCTCGGGGGTCATCATTTGAACAAAATTGAATTTACACTACCTGAGGATGCTTCCATATCAAAATGACTAAACATGATTTTCAGTTCTTGAGAAGAAGATATTTTCCTATATGTTCCTATGTAAAATTTTCGATCCCCCATTATGGCCCATCCCTATTCCCTGGGGTCATCATTTGAACAAACTTGAATCTACACTACCTGAGGATGCTTCCATATCAAAATGACTAATCATGGCTTTGCAGTTCTTCATCAAAACATATCTTCCTATATATTTCTATGTAAAACTTTGATCCTCCATTGTGGCCCCGCCCTACCCCCGGGGGGTCATGATTTGAACAAACTTGAATCTACACTACCTGAGGATGCTTCCATATAAATATGACTCATCATGGCTTTGCTGTTATTGAGAAGAAGATTTTTAAAGATTTTTCCTATATATTTCTATGTAAAACTTTGATCCTCCATTGTGGCCCCGCCCTACCCCCAGGGGTCATGATTTGGACAAACTTGAATCTACACTACCTGAGGATGCTTCCATATAAATATGACCAATTAGGGCTTTGCTGTTATTGAGAAGAAGATTTTTAAAGGTTTTTCCTATATATTTCTATGTAAAACTTTGATCCTCCATTGTGGCCCCGCCCTACCCCCGGGGGTCTTGATTTGAACAAACTTGAATCTACACTACCTGAGGATGCTTCCATATAAATATGACCAATTAGGGCTTTGCTGTTATTGAGAAGAAGATTTTTAAAGGTTTTTCCTATATATTTCTATGTAAAACTTTGATCCTCCATTGTGGCCCCGCCCTACCCCCGGGGGTCTTGATTTGAACAAACTTGAATCTACACTACCTGAGGATGCTTCCATATAAATATGACTCATCATGGCTTTGCTGTTATTGAGAAGAAGATTTTTAAAGATTTTTCCTATATATTTCTATGTAAAACTTTGATCCTCCATTGTGGCCCCACCCTACCCCCAGGGGTCATGATTTGAAGAAACTTGAATCTACACTACCTGAGGATGCTTCCATTTAAATATGACTCATCATGGCTTTGCTGTTCTTGAGAAGAAGATTTTTAAAGGTTTTTCCTATATATTTCTATGTAAAACTTTGATCCTCCACTGTGGCCCCGCCCTACCCCCGGGGGTCATGATTTGAACAAACTTGAATCTACACTACCTGAGGATGCTTCCACATGAGTTTCATCTTCCCTGACTTTGTGGTTCTTGAGAAGAAGATTTTTAAAAGATTCTACTAATTTTTCACTAATTCTTCATTATCTCCCCTTGAAAGAGGGCGTGGCCCTTCATTTGAACAAACTTGAATCCCCTTCACCCAAGGGTACTTTGTGGCAAGTTTGGTTGAAATTGGCCCAATGGTTCTTGAGAAGAAGTCGAAAATGTGAAAAGTTTACAGACGGACGGACGGACAGACAGACAGACAGACAGACAGACAGACGGACAGACGGACAGACGGACTACAGACAAAATGTGATCAGAAAAGCTCACTTGAGCCTTCGGCTCAGGTGAGCTAAAAAAAGCTTCTCTATTAGGCTTCCTGGTTGCGGAATTGGTTCCTGGCGCTGCTCTTCTGACGGGCCCTGTCGGTCCGCATCCTGTCAATTGCAAATCAATAGATCAAGGTCTGATAAGGTTAATAGCAATTGGCAGGCTCATGAAAGGGTGCAAGAAGTAGTCTGAATCTTACCGCATCTTCCAGTGTTTGCTGCAGTTGAATGGGATCCCCTCACTACAGGATCTTGGTCAGCTTCTACTCCCGTCTGCAAACAATGCAAAAGAAAGACATCAAAGATACACAAAGACACTTTATATCATGTCAGAAAGTCATAAAAATTCACAGACTGCAAAGAGCAAGTCCACTTCTAATCTTACCCTCACTTGCGGTTATAATGCAAATCAGGAATTCAAAAGTGCAACCAAAGCAGCTTCTTACTCACCGCTTTCACCAATGTTGGCTGCTGGACGGGCAATGGACTTCTCTTCTGTTGGCCGGCCGTCGTCGTCCGTCGTCGTCCATCGTCAGTTGCCCTGAAAATATACAACTGATAGAAGGTTAGTAAAAAATCAAAACAATGACACAAATGACAGAAATTCGAATACACGTAATCATCACATGAAAATTAGATGAAAAAAATAAGTTAGATAATGAAGACAGTTAATTCAGGAAAGGGTCAAAAGGGGGAAGGGAAGGGAGAGGTGGACAGGAGGATGGTTAGTTATGTTAGATTAGGGAGGGCAATGAGACAGAAGAAGAGATAGAAAGGAATAAATGAAAAAAAAAAGCTTCTCTATTAGGCTTCCTGGTTGCGGAATTGGTTCCTGACGCTGCTCTTCTGACGGGCCCTGTCGGTCCGCATCCTGTCAATTGCAAATCAATAGATCAAGGTCTGATAAGGTTAATAGCAATTGGCAGGCTCATGAAAGGGTGCAAGAAGTAGTCTGAATCTTACCGCATCTTCCAGTGTTTGCTGCAGTTGAATGGGATCCCCTCACTACAGGATCTTGGTCAGCTTCTACTCCCGTCTGCAAACAATGCAAAAGAAAGACATCAAAGATACACAAAGACACTTTATATCATGTCAGAAAGTCATAAAAATTCACAGACTGCAAAGAGCAAGTCCACTTCTAATCTTACCCTCACTTGCGGTTATAATGCAAATCAGGAATTCAAAAGTGCAACCAAAGCAGCTTCTTACTCACCGCTTTCACCAATGTTGGCTGCTGGACGGGCAATGGACTCCTCTTCTGTTGGCCGGCCGTCGTCGTCCGTCGTCGTCCATCGTCAGTTGCCCTGAAAATATACAACTGATAGAAGGTTAGTAAAAAATCAAAACAATGACACAAATGACAGAAATTCGAATACACGTAATCATCACATGAAAATTAGATGAAAAAAATAAGTTAGATAATGAAGACAGTTAATTCAGGAAAGGGTCAAAAGGGGGAAGGGAAGGGAGAGGTGGACAGGAGGATGGTTAGTTATGTTAGATTAGGGAGGGCAATGAGACAGAAGAAGAGATAGAAAGGAATAAATAAAATAAAAAAGCTTCTCTATTAGGCTTCCTGGTTGCGGAATTGGTTCCTGACGCTGCTCTTCTGACGGGCCCTGTCGGTCCGCATCCTGTCAATTGCAAATCAATAGATCAAGGTCTGATAAGGTTAATAGCAATTGGCAGGCTCATGAAAGGGTGCAAGAAGTAGTCTGAATCTTACCGCATCTTCCAGTGTTTGCTGCAGTTGAATGGGATCCCCTCACTACAGGATCTTGGTCAGCTTCTACTCCCGTCTGCAAACAATGCAAAAGAAAGACATCAAAGATACACAAAGACACTTTATATCATGTCAGAAAGTCATAAAAATTCACAGACTGCAAAGAGCAAGTCCACTTCTAATCTTACCCTCACTTGCGGTTATAATGCAAATCAGGAATTCAAAAGTGCAACCAAAGCAGCTTCTTACTCACCGCTTTCACCAATGTTGGCTGCTGGACGGGCAATGGACTCCTCTTCTGTTGGCCGGCCGTCGTCGTCCGTCGTCGTCCATCGTCAGTTGCCCTGAAAATATACAACTGATAGAAGGTTAGTAAAAAATCAAAACAATGACACAAATGACAGAAATTCGAATACACGTAATCATCACATGAAAATTAGATGAAAAAAATAAGTTAGATAATGAAGACAGTTAATTCAGGAAAGGGTCAAAAGGGGGAAGGGAAGGGAGAGGTGGACAGGAGGATGGTTAGTTATGTTAGATTAGGGAGGGCAATGAGACAGAAGAAGAGATAGAAAGGAATAAATAAAATAAAAAAGCTTCTCTATTAGGCTTCCTGGTTGCGGAATTGGTTCCTGACGCTGCTCTTCTGACGGGCCCTGTCGGTCCGCATCCTGTCAATTGCAAATCAATAGATCAAGGTCTGATAAGGTTAATAGCAATTGGCAGGCTCATGAAAGGGTGCAAGAAGTAGTCTGAATCTTACCGCATCTTCCAGTGTTTGCTGCAGTTGAATGGGATCCCCTCACTACAGGATCTTGGTCAGCTTCTACTCCCGTCTGCAAACAATGCAAAAGAAAGACATCAAAGATACACAAAGACACTTTATATCATGTCAGAAAGTCATAAAAATTCACAGACTGCAAAGAGCAAGTCCACTTCTAATCTTACCCTCACTTGCGGTTATAATGCAAATCAGGAATTCAAAAGTGCAACCAAAGCAGCTTCTTACTCACCGCTTTCACCAATGTTGGCTGCTGGACGGGCAATGGACTCCTCTTCTGTTGGCCGGCCGTCGTCGTCCGTCGTCGTCCATCGTCAGTTGCCCTGAAAATATACAACTGATAGAAGGTTAGTAAAAAATCAAAACAATGACACAAATGACAGAAATTCGAATACACGTAATCATCACATGAAAATTAGATGAAAAAAATAAGTTAGATAATGAAGACAGTTAATTCAGGAAAGGGTCAAAAGGGGGAAGGGAAGGGAGAGGTGGACAGGAGGATGGTTAGTTATGTTAGATTAGGGAGGGCAATGAGACAGAAGAAAAGATAGAAAGGAATAAATAAAATAAAAAAGCTTCTCTATTAGGCTTCCTGGTTGCGGAATTGGTTCCTGACGCTGCTCTTCTGACGGGCCCTGTCGGTCCGCATCCTGTCAATTGCAAATCAATAGATCAAGGTCTGATAAGGTTAATAGCAATTGGCAGGCTCATGAAAGGGTGCAAGAAGTAGTCTGAATCTTACCGCATCTTCCAGTGTTTGCTGCAGTTGAATGGGATCCCCTCACTACAGGATCTTGGTCAGCTTCTACTCCCGTCTGCAAACAATGCAAAAGAAAGACATCAAAGATACACAAAGACACTTTATATCATGTCAGAAAGTCATAAAAATTCACAGACTGCAAAGAGCAAGTCCACTTCTAATCTTACCCTCACTTGCGGTTATAATGCAAATCAGGAATTCAAAAGTGCAACCAAAGCAGCTTCTTACTCACCGCTTTCACCAATGTTGGCTGCTGGACGGGCAATGGACTTCTCTTCTGTTGGCCGGCCGTCGTCGTCCGTCGTCGTCCATTGTCAGTTGCCCTGAAAATATACAACTGATAGAAGGTTAGTAAAAAATCAAAACAATGACACAAATGACAGAAATTCGAATACACGTAATCATCACATGAAAATTAGATGAAAAAAATAAGTTAGATAATGAAGACAGTTAATTCAGGAAAGGGTCAAAAGGGGGAAGGGAAGGGAGAGGTGGACAGGAGGATGGTTAGTTATGTTAGATTAGGGAGGGCAATGAGACAGAAGAAGAGATAGAAAGGAATAGATATAAAAAAAAGCTTCTCTATTAGGCTTCCTGGTTGCGGAATTGGTTCCTGACGCTGCTCTTCTGACGGGCCCTGTCGGTCCGCATCCTGTCAATTGCAAATCAATAGATCAAGGTCTGATAAGGTTAATAGCAATTGGCAGGCTCATGAAAGGGTGCAAGAAGTAGTCTGAATCTTACCGCATCTTCCAGTGTTTGCTGCAGTTGAATGGGATCCCCTCACTACAGGATCTTGGTCAGCTTCTACTCCCGTCTGCAAACAATGCAAAAGAAAGACATCAAAGATACACAAAGACACTTTATATCATGTCAGAAAGTCATAAAAATTCACAGACTGCAAAGAGCAAGTCCACTTCTAATCTTACCCTCACTTGCGGTTATAATGCAAATCAGGAATTCAAAAGTGCAACCAAAGCAGCTTCTTACTCACCGCTTTCACCAATGTTGGCTGCTGGACGGGCAATGGACTTCTCTTCTGTTGGCCGGCCGTCGTCGTCCGTCGTCGTCCATCGTCAGTTGCCCTGAAAATATACAACTGATAGAAGGTTAGTAAAAAATCAAAACAATGACACAAATGACAGAAATTCGAATACACGTAATCATCACATGAAAATTAGATGAAAAAAATAAGTTAGATAATGAAGACAGTTAATTCAGGAAAGGGTCAAAAGGGGGAAGGGAAGGGAGAGGTGGACAGGAGGATGGTTAGTTATGTTAGATTAGGGAGGGCAATGAGACAGAAGAAGAGATAGAAAGGAATAAATAAAAAAAAAAAGCTTCTCTATTAGGCTTCCTGGTTGCGGAATTGGTTCCTGGCGCTGCTCTTCTGACGGGCCCTGTCGGTCCGCATCCTGTCAATTGCAAATCAATAGATCAAGGTCTGATAAGGTTAATAGCAATTGGCAGGCTCATGAAAGGGTGCAAGAAGTAGTCTGAATCTTACCGCATCTTCCAGTGTTTGCTGCAGTTGAATGGGATCCCCTCACTACAGGATCTTGGTCAGCTTCTACTCCCGTCTGCAAACAATGCAAAAGAAAGACATCAAAGATACACAAAGACACTTTATATCATGTCAGAAAGTCATAAAAATTCACAGACTGCAAAGAGCAAGTCCACTTCTAATCTTACCCTCACTTGCGGTTATAATGCAAATCAGGAATTCAAAAGTGCAACCAAAGCAGCTTCTTACTCACCGCTTTCACCAATGTTGGCTGCTGGACGGGCAATGGACTCCTCTTCTGTTGGCCGGCCGTCGTCGTCCGTCGTCGTCCATCGTCAGTTGCCCTGAAAATATACAACTGATAGAAGGTTAGTAAAAAATCAAAACAATGACACAAATGACAGAAATTCGAATACACGTAATCATCACATGAAAATTAGATGAAAAAAATAAGTTAGATAATGAAGACAGTTAATTCAGGAAAGGGTCAAAAGGGGGAAGGGAAGGGAGAGGTGGACAGGAGGATGGTTAGTTATGTTAGATTAGGGAGGGCAATGAGACAGAAGAAGAGATAGAAAGGAATAAATAAAATAAAAAAGCTTCTCTATTAGGCTTCCTGGTTGCGGAATTGGTTCCTGACGCTGCTCTTCTGACGGGCCCTGTCGGTCCGCATCCTGTCAATTGCAAATCAATAGATCAAGGTCTGATAAGGTTAATAGCAATTGGCAGGCTCATGAAAGGGTGCAAGAAGTAGTCTGAATCTTACCGCATCTTCCAGTGTTTGCTGCAGTTGAATGGGATCCCCTCACTACAGGATCTTGGTCAGCTTCTACTCCCGTCTGCAAACAATGCAAAAGAAAGACATCAAAGATACACAAAGACACTTTATATCATGTCAGAAAGTCATAAAAATTCACAGACTGCAAAGAGCAAGTCCACTTCTAATCTTACCCTCACTTGCGGTTATAATGCAAATCAGGAATTCAAAAGTGCAACCAAAGCAGCTTCTTACTCACCGCTTTCACCAATGTTGGCTGCTGGACGGGCAATGGACTCCTCTTCTGTTGGCCGGCCGTCGTCGTCCGTCGTCGTCCATCGTCAGTTGCCCTGAAAATATACAACTGATAGAAGGTTAGTAAAAAATCAAAACAATGACACAAATGACAGAAATTCGAATACACGTAATCATCACATGAAAATTAGATGAAAAAAATAAGTTAGATAATGAAGACAGTTAATTCAGGAAAGGGTCAAAAGGGGGAAGGGAAGGGAGAGGTGGACAGGAGGATGGTTAGTTATGTTAGATTAGGGAGGGCAATGAGACAGAAGAAGAGATAGAAAGGAATAAATAAAATAAAAAAGCTTCTCTATTAGGCTTCCTGGTTGCGGAATTGGTTCCTGACGCTGCTCTTCTGACGGGCCCTGTCGGTCCGCATCCTGTCAATTGCAAATCAATAGATCAAGGTCTGATAAGGTTAATAGCAATTGGCAGGCTCATGAAAGGGTGCAAGAAGTAGTCTGAATCTTACCGCATCTTCCAGTGTTTGCTGCAGTTGAATGGGATCCCCTCACTACAGGATCTTGGTCAGCTTCTACTCCCGTCTGCAAACAATGCAAAAGAAAGACATCAAAGACACACAAAGACACTTTATATCATGTCAGAAAGTCATAAAAATTCACAGACTGCAAAGAGCAAGTCCACTTCTAATCTTACCCTCACTTGCGGTTATAATGCAAATCAGGAATTCAAAAGTGCAACCAAAGCAGCTTCTTACTCACCGCTTTCACCAATGTTGGCTGCTGGACGGGCAATGGACTCCTCTTCTGTTGGCCGGCCGTCGTCGTCCGTCGTCGTCCATCGTCAGTTGCCCTGAAAATATACAACTGATAGAAGGTTAGTAAAAAATCAAAACAATGACACAAATGACAGAAATTCGAATACACGTAATCATCACATGAAAATTAGATGAAAAAAATAAGTTAGATAATGAAGACAGTTAATTCAGGAAAGGGTCAAAAGGGGGAAGGGAAGGGAGAGGTGGACAGGAGGATGGTTAGTTATGTTAGATTAGGGAGGGCAATGAGACAGAAGAAGAGATAGAAAGGAATAAATAAAATAAAAAAGCTTCTCTATTAGGCTTCCTGGTTGCGGAATTGGTTCCTGACGCTGCTCTTCTGACGGGCCCTGTCGGTCCGCATCCTGTCAATTGCAAATCAATAGATCAAGGTCTGATAAGGTTAATAGCAATTGGCAGGCTCATGAAAGGGTGCAAGAAGTAGTCTGAATCTTACCGCATCTTCCAGTGTTTGCTGCAGTTGAATGGGATCCCCTCACTACAGGATCTTGGTCAGCTTCTACTCCCGTCTGCAAACAATGCAAAAGAAAGACATCAAAGATACACAAAGACACTTTATATCATGTCAGAAAGTCATAAAAATTCACAGACTGCAAAGAGCAAGTCCACTTCTAATCTTACCCTCACTTGCGGTTATAATGCAAATCAGGAATTCAAAAGTGCAACCAAAGCAGCTTCTTACTCACCGCTTTCACCAATGTTGGCTGCTGGACGGGCAATGGACTTCTCTTCTGTTGGCCGGCCGTCGTCGTCCGTCGTCGTCCATCGTCAGTTGCCCTGAAAATATACAACTGATAGAAGGTAAGTAAAAAATCAAAACAATGACACAAATGACAGAAATTCGAATACACGTAATCATCACATGAAAATTAGATGAAAAAAATAAGTTAGATAATGAAGACAGTTAATTCAGGAAAGGGTCAAAAGGGGGAAGGGAAGGGAGAGGTGGGCAGGAGGATGGTTAGTTGTGTTAGATTAGGGAGGGCAATGAGACAGAAGAAGAGATAGAAAGGAATAAATAAAAAAAAAGCTTCTCTATTAGGCTTCCTGGTTGCGGAATTGGTTCCTGACGCTGCTCTTCTGACGGGCCCTGTCGGTCCGCATCCTGTCAATTGCAAATCAATAGATCAAGGTCTGATAAGGTTAATAGCAATTGGCAGGCTCATGAAAGGGTGCAAGAAGTAGTCTGAATCTTACCGCATCTTCCAGTGTTTGCTGCAGTTGAATGGGATCCCCTCACTACAGGATCTTGGTCAGCTTCTACTCCCGTCTGCAAACAATGCAAAAGAAAGACATCAAAGATACACAAAGACACTTTATATCATGTCAGAAAGTCATAAAAATTCACAGACTGCAAAGAGCAAGTCCACTTCTAATCTTACCCTCACTTGCGGTTATAATGCAAATCAGGAATTCAAAAGTGCAACCAAAGCAGCTTCTTACTCACCGCTTTCACCAATGTTGGCTGCTGGACGGGCAATGGACTTCTCTTCTGTTGGCCGGCCGTCGTCGTCCGTCGTCGTCCATCGTCAGTTGCCCTGAAAATATACAACTGATAGAAGGTTAGTAAAAAATCAAAACAATGACACAAATGACAGAAATTCGAATACACGTAATCATCACATGAAAATTAGATGAAAAAAATAAGTTAGATAATGAAGACAGTTAATTCAGGAAAGGGTCAAAAGGGGGAAGGGAAGGGAGAGGTGGGCAGGAGGATGGTTAGTTATGTTAGATTAGGGAGGGCAATGAGACAGAAGAAGAGATAGAAAGGAATAAATGAAAAAAAAAAGCTTCTCTATTAGGCTTCCTGGTTGCGGAATTGGTTCCTGGCGCTGCTCTTCTGACGGGCCCTGTCGGTCCGCATCCTGTCAATTGCAAATCAATAGATCAAGGTCTGATAAGGTTAATAGCAATTGGCAGGCTCATGAAAGGGTGCAAGAAGTAGTCTGAATCTTACCGCATCTTCCAGTGTTTGCTGCAGTTGAATGGGATCCCCTCACTACAGGATCTTGGTCAGCTTCTACTCCCGTCTGCAAACAATGCAAAAGAAAGACATCAAAGATACACAAAGACACTTATATCATGTCAGAAAGTCATAAAAATTCACAGACTGCAAAGAGCAAGTCCACTTCTAATCTTACCCTCACTTGCGGTTATAATGCAAATCAGGAATTCAAAAGTGCAACCAAAGCAGCTTCTTACTCACCGCTTTCACCAATGTTGGCTGCTGGACGGGCAATGGACTCCTCTTCTGTTGGCCGGCCGTCGTCGTCCGTCGTCGTCCATCGTCAGTTGCCCTGAAAATATACAACTGATAGAAGGATAGTAAAAAATCAAAACAATGACACAAATGACAGAAATTCGAATACACGTAATCATCACATGAAAATTAGATGAAAAAAATAAGTTAGATAATGAAGACAGTTAATTCAGGAAAGGGTCAAAAGGGGGAAGGGAAGGGAGAGGTGGACAGGAGGATGGTTAGTTATGTTAGATTAGGGAGGGCAATGAGACAGAAGAAGAGATAGAAAGGAATAAATAAAAAAAAAAAGCTTCTCTATTAGGCTTCCTAGTTGCGGAATTGGTTCCTGGCGCTGCTCTTCTGACGGGCCCTGTCGGTCCGCATCCTGTCAATTGCAAATCAATAGATCAAGGTCTGATAAGGTTAATAGCAATTGGCAGGCTCATGAAAGGGTGCAAGAAGTAGTCTGAATCTTACCGCATCTTCCAGTGTTTGCTGCAGTTGAATGGGATCCCCTCACTACAGGATCTTGGTCAGCTTCTACTCCCGTCTGCAAACAATGCAAAAGAAAGACATCAAAGATACACAAAGACACTTTATATCATGTCAGAAAGTCATAAAAATTCACAGACTGCAAAGAGCAAGTCCACTTCTAATCTTACCCTCACTTGCGGTTATAATGCAAATCAGGAATTCAAAAGTGCAACCAAAGCAGCTTCTTACTCACCGCTTTCACCAATGTTGGCTGCTGGACGGGCAATGGACTCCTCTTCTGTTGGCCGGCCGTCGTCGTCCGTCGTCGTCCATCGTCAGTTGCCCTGAAAATATACAACTGATAGAAGGTTAGTAAAAAAATCAAAACAATGACACAAATGACAGAAATTCGAATACACGTAATCATCACTTGAAAATTAGATGAAAAAAATAAGTTAGATAATGAAGACAGTTAATTCAGGAAAGGGTCAAAAGGGGGAAGGGAAGGGAGAGGTGGGCAGGAGGATGGTTAGTTATGTTAGATTAGGGAGGGCAATGAGACAGAAGAAGAGATAGAAAGGAATAAATAAAAAAAAAAGCTTCTCTATTAGGCTTCCTGGTTGCGGAATTGGTTCCTGACGCTGCTCTTCTGACGGACCCTGTCGGTCCGCATCCTGTCAATTGCAAATCAATAGATCAAGGTCTGATAAGGTTAATAGCAATTGGCAGGCTCATGAAAGGGTGCAAGAAGTAGTCTGAATCTTACCGCATCTTCCAGTGTTTGCTGCAGTTGAATGGGATCCCCTCACTACAGGATCTTGGTCAGCTTCTACTCCCGTCTGCAAACAATGCAAAAGAAAGACATCAAAGATACACAAAGACACTTTATATCATGTCAGAAAGTCATAAAAATTCACAGACTGCAAAGAGCAAGTCCACTTCTAATCTTACCCTCACTTGCGGTTATAATGCAAATCAGGAATTCAAAAGTGCAACCAAAGCAGCTTCTTACTCACCGCTTTCACCAATGTTGGCTGCTGGACGGGCAATGGACTCCTCTTCTGTTGGCCGGCCGTCGTCGTCCGTCGTCGTCCATCGTCAGTTGCCCTGAAAATATACAACTGATAGAAGGTTAGTAAAAAATCAAAACAATGACACAAATGACAGAAATTCGAATACACGTAATCATCACATGAAAATTAGATGAAAAAAATAAGTTAGATAATGAAGACAGTTAATTCAGGAAAGGGTCAAAAGGGGGAAGGGAAGGGAGAGGTGGACAGGAGGATGGTTAGTTATGTTAGATTAGGGAGGGCAATGAGACAGAAGAAGAGATAGAAAGGAATAAATAAAAAAAAAAGCTTCTCTATTAGGCTTCCTGGTTGCGGAATTGGTTCCTGGCGCTGCTCTTCTGACGGGCCCTGTCGGTCCGCATCCTGTCAATTGCAAATCAATAGATCAAGGTCTGATAAGGTTAATAGCAATTGGCAGGCTCATGAAAGGGTGCAAGAAGTAGTCTGAATCTTACCGCATCTTCCAGTGTTTGCTGCAGTTGAATGGGATCCCCTCACTACAGGATCTTGGTCAGCTTCTACTCCCGTCTGCAAACAATGCAAAAGAAAGACATCAAAGATACACAAAGACACTTTATATCATGTCAGAAAGTCATAAAAATTCACAGACTGCAAAGAGCAAGTCCACTTCTAATCTTACCCTCACTTGCGGTTATAATGCAAATCAGGAATTCAAAAGTGCAACCAAAGCAGCTTCTTACTCACCGCTTTCACCAATGTTGGCTGCTGGACGGGCAATGGACTTCTCTTCTGTTGGCCGGCCGTCGTCGTCCGTCGTCGTCCATCGTCAGTTGCCCTGAAAATATACAACTGATAGAAGGTTAGTAAAAAATCAAAACAATGACACAAATGACAGAAATTCGAATACACGTAATCATCACATGAAAATTAGATGAAAAAAATAAGTTAGATAATGAAGACAGTTAATTCAGGAAAGGGTCAAAAGGGGGAAGGGAAGGGAGAGGTGGACAGGAGGATGGTTAGTTATGTTAGATTAGGGAGGGCAATGAGACAGAAGAAGAGATAGAAAGGAATAAATAAAAAAAAAAGCTTCTCTATTAGGCTTCCTGGTTGCGGAATTGGTTCCTGGCGCTGCTCTTCTGACGGGCCCTGTCGGTCCGCATCCTGTCAATTGCAAATCAATAGATCAAGGTCTGATAAGGTTAATAGCAATTGGCAGGCTCATGAAAGGGTGCAGGAAGTAGTCTGAATCTTACCGCATCTTCCAGTGTTTGCTGCAGTTGAATGGGATCCCCTCACTACAGGATCTTGGTCAGCTTCTACTCCCGTCTGCAAACAATGCAAAAGAAAGACATCAAAGATACACAAAGACACTTTATATCATGTCAGAAAGTCATAAAAATTCACAGACTGCAAAGAGCAAGTCCACTTCTAATCTTACCCTCACTTGCGGTTATAATGCAAATCAGGAATTCAAAAGTGCAACCAAAGCAGCTTCTTACTCACCGCTTTCACCAATGTTGGCTGCTGGACGGGCAATGGACTTCTCTTCTGTTGGCCGGCCGTCGTCGTCCGTCGTCGTCCATCGTCAGTTGCCCTGAAAATATACAACTGATAGAAGGTTAGTAAAAAATCAAAACAATGACACAAATGACAGAAATTCGAATACACGTAATCATCACATGAAAATTAGATGAAAAAAATAAGTTAGATAATGAAGACAGTTAATTCAGGAAAGGGTCAAAAGGGGGAAGGGAAGGGAGAGGTGGGCAGGAGGATGGTTAGTTATGTTAGATTAGGGAGGGCAATGAGACAGAAGAAGAGATAGAAAGGAATAAATAAAAAAAAAAAAGCTTCTCTATTAGGCTTCCTGGTTGCGGAATTGGTTCCTGGCGCTGCTCTTCTGACGGGCCCTGTCGGTCCGCATCCTGTCAATTGCAAATCAATAGATCAAGGTCTGATAAGGTTAATAGCAATTGGCAGGCTCATGAAAGGGTGCAAGAAGTAGTCTGAATCTTACCGCATCTTCCAGTGTTTGCTGCAGTTGAATGGGATCCCCTCACTACAGGATCTTGGTCAGCTTCTACTCCCGTCTGCAAACAATGCAAAAGAAAGACATCAAAGATACACAAAGACACTTTATATCATGTCAGAAAGTCATAAAAATTCACAGACTGCAAAGAGCAAGTCCACTTCTAATCTTACCCTCACTTGCGGTTATAATGCAAATCAGGAATTCAAAAGTGCAACCAAAGCAGCTTCTTACTCACCGCTTTCACCAATGTTGGCTGCTGGACGGGCAATGGACTCCTCTTCTGTTGGCCGGCCGTCGTCGTCCGTCGTCGTCCATCGTCAGTTGCCCTGAAAATATACAACTGATAGAAGGATAGTAGAAAATCAAAACAATGACACAAATGACAGAAACTCAAATACACGTAATCATCACATGAAAATTAGATGAAAAAAATAAGTTAGATAATGAAGACAGTTAATTCAGGAAAGGGTCAAAAGGGGGAAGGGAAGGGAGAGGTGGACAGGAGGATGGTTAGTTATGTTAGATTAGGGAGGGCAATGAGACAGAAGAAGAGATAGAAAGGAATAAATAAAATAAAAAAGCTTCTCTATTAGGCTTCCTGGTTGCGGAATTGGTTCCTGGCGCTGCTCTTCTGACGGACCCTGTCGGTCCGCATCCTGTCAATTGCAAATCAATAGATCAAGGTCTGATAAGGTTAATAGCAATTGGCAGGCTCATGAAAGGGTGCAAGAAGTAGTCTGAATCTTACCGCATCTTCCAGTGTTTGCTGCAGTTGAATGGGATCCCCTCACTACAGGATCTTGGTCAGCTTCTACTCCCGTCTGCAAACAATGCAAAAGAAAGACATCAAAGATACACAAAGACACTTTATATCATGTCAGAAAGTCATAAAAATTCACAGACTGCAAAGAGCAAGTCCACTTCTAATCTTACCCTCACTTGCGGTTATAATGCAAATCAGGAATTCAAAAGTGCAACCAAAGCAGCTTCTTACTCACCGCTTTCACCAATGTTGGCTGCTGGATGGGCAATGGACTCCTCTTCTGTTGGCCGGCCGTCGTCGTCCGTCGTCGTCCATCGTCAGTTGCCCTGAAAATATACAACTGATAGAAGGTTAGTAAAAAATCAAAACAATGACACAAATGACAGAAATTCGAATACACGTAATCATCACATGAAAATTAGATGAAAAAAATAAGTTAGATAATGAAGACAGTTAATTCAGGAAAGGGTCAAAAGGGGGAAGGGAAGGGAGAGGTGGACAGGAGGATGGTTAGTTATGTTAGATTAGGGAGGGCAATGAGACAGAAGAAGAGATAGAAAGGAATAAATAAAATAAAAAAGCTTCTCTATTAGGCTTCCTGGTTGCGGAATTGGTTCCTGACGCTGCTCTTCTGACGGGCCCTGTCGGTCCGCATCCTGTCAATTGCAAATCAATAGATCAAGGTCTGATAAGGTTAATAGCAATTGGCAGGCTCATGAAAGGGTGCAAGAAGTAGTCTGAATCTTACCGCATCTTCCAGTGTTTGCTGCAGTTGAATGGGATCCCCTCACTACAGGATCTTGGTCAGCTTCTACTCCCGTCTGCAAACAATGCAAAAGAAAGACATCAAAGATACACAAAGACACTTTATATCATGTCAGAAAGTCATAAAAATTCACAGACTGCAAAGAGCAAGTCCACTTCTAATCTTACCCTCACTTGCGGTTATAATGCAAATCAGGAATTCAAAAGTGCAACCAAAGCAGCTTCTTACTCACCGCTTTCACCAATGTTGGCTGCTGGACGGGCAATGGACTCCTCTTCTGTTGGCCGGCCGTCGTCGTCCGTCGTCGTCCATCGTCAGTTGCCCTGAAAATATACAACTGATAGGAGGTTAGTAAAAAATCAAAACAATGACACAAATGACAGAAATTCGAATACACGTAATCATCACATGAAAATTAGATGAAAAAAATAAGTTAGATAATGAAGACAGTTAATTCAGGAAAGGGTCAAATTGAGGAAGGGAAGGGAGAGGTGGGCAGGAGGATGGTTAGTTATGTTAGATTAGGGAGGGCAATGAGACAGAAGAAGAGATAGAAAGGAATAAATAAAAAAAGCTTCTCTATTAGGCTTCCTGGCTGCGGAATTGGTTCCTGGCGCTGCTCTTCTGACGGGCCCTGTCGGTCTGCATCCTGTCAATTGCAAATCAATAGGTCAAGGCCTGATAAGGTAAGAATTAAGCATGAAAGGATGCAAAAAGTAGTCTGAATCTTACAACATCTTCCAGTGGTGGTTGCTGTTAAATGGGATATTCTTTCACCTCATGTTACTGGTCAGCTTCAACCCCCTTCTGTTAACAAAGGAAGATGTAGTGATTAAAATTCACCAACCATGTTTATCTCTTCTCAGAAAGAGTGTGCAGAAGCGAACTATTTTTAAAAAAAATTAAAAACACCAAAATATTAGAACCTTTTGCTTTGTTTGTTTGTTCGTGTATTCTTTAACGTCCCTCTCGAGAATTTTTCACTCATATGGAGACGCCACCACTTGCCGGTGGAGAGCTACAAATTTTGACCTATACTCGGCACTCAGGACCATGGAGCAGTGAGGGATCTTTTTCGTGCCAGCATCACCTCGGTTTATACGGTCCGAAGGACCTGTCTCGATGCCACACAGAGCCTTAAGCGTTTTTTGTGAGAAAGTGTATTTATTTTGCTCAGTTTAAATACTACAGTGAACGAAAAACCTAACTTATTTAACTTTACAACTCTTGGGAAATCACCGAATGTTTAATACAATTTGGTGTGAATCTACAAAATTTAGATATAAATCCTCACCGCAAATAGTGGTCCCCTTCTTTCAGTGTCTTGGTGGTTGGGATGCAATTATTTATGACATATTTTAACTGTCTTGTCTTTGTGTCCTGCAATCTTCTAGTTCAAGGTCATAAAATAAAAAATGATGTAGCTTTCTGAAAGATGTTGTCATAGGTAATGTACAGGTTATACGTGAAAGCCCTATCTTCTCTGATTCAAACATTCTTACCAATGTAAAAAAAAATTGCAAAAGATTGTATATTAAATTTTCAGGTCAAGATTACGAGGTCAAAACCAGAGTACTCTCGGAAATGTCTTGAAACAGGTATTACACATTTCAGGTATAAATGCCCTTTCTTCTCTCGTTGAAAAGTTATCAGCAATGTCAAATATGCTTGAAAATTAGGTCAGGACTCCAAGGTCATGGGGTTTTAAATCATAGTACATTTGGAAACATCTCGTCACAAGTAATGCACTTGTCAAATATGAAGGCCCTATCTTCTCTTCTTAAAAAATTAACAGGAATGGTAAAATTTTTGAAAATAAAGTCAAACTTCAAGGTCAGGGTTTCAAATATCAGAACATATTCGGAAATTTCTTGTCAAAGGTACTGCACTTGTCATTCAAAAGTTATCACAAATGTTTTTTTTTCTAAGAATAAGGTCAAGCTTCAAGGTTATAGGTTAAAAAATCAACATGTTTGGAAACGTCTTGTCACTGTCAATGCACATGTCAATTTTGAATGCTTCGTCTTCTCTCGTTCTAAAGTTAAAACCAATGTTAACAGTTTTGAAAAGTAGGTTAAACTTCAAGGTCACAGGTAAAAATTCATAGTACATTTGGAAATGTATTGTCACAGGTAATATTCATGTGAATTATGAAAGCCCTTTCCTTTCCCATTCAAACGTTTTGAACAAGGTAAAAGTAATGTTAAAAATTTTCACTAGTAGGTCAAACTTCAAGATCAAGGGATAAAAAATAATGGTGTATTTGAAAAGGATTTGTCACAGGTAATGTACATATGAAATATGAAAGCCCTCTGTTTTCATTCAAAAGTTATGATCACGGTTAAAGTTTTTGTGACAGACGGACAGACGAATGAGATTTCATGTAGCGAAAGCGGGGGACAACAAGAGTTAACCCACTTGTAGTAGAACCAACAGGAACGTGGCTTTACCTGTTTACTATATACAGCACAAGGCTTCTTCAAACTATATCGCATAGCATTTAATTTTAAAAATGTTAATTAGATGTCCTGATTAGATGTCCTGAACAAACTCAGTTCTTAATTTATCTGCATTTCACTATTTAAACTGACGTATTCTAAAAAAAAAATTAAAATTGAATTTAAATAAAAAAACATTGGCTATTAATACGATTGTTCGTTTACCTTTACCGTTAAACCCACTACCAAATCTGTTTTATTGACAAGATACTTTTCGCATGCATAAACAGCAGTTCATATAATAAAAACTCCAAAAAATATTTCTTCTACTTTTGAGATCCTCGGAGTCAGTGAAATATCTGGAAATGGACTCTCCGCCATTTTACTGAGAATACTGTGTACGGTACCGGAAGTGTTTACAAATATATGCTTATTTCTGATACTCTGATTAACATCGTAATCAAATCTAAAGTGAATATTTTTAACTGATTGGTCAATAGTAAATTAAAAAACAATATTTTCTTTGCTTCAGTGTGATTTTTAAATGATTGAGATCATTCGGTCGATCGAGAGAAATAGAGAGAGAATTTGATATAGATAGTTTAGTTTTTTTCTATTGTTTATTTTCTTTAGCTATAGTAATTGATTTAACTATTTTTATTGAAATATGAACGTTTCTTAATTTAACTGGCATTGAAAAAACCATATTTAGCAATCCTCCACATAAGTAATCTCATGACACATATTCTGACCAAGTATGATCCTTGGCAGACCATATTGTACAACCTAAATGAGCTTTCCAGCAAGCAACTGGAGTCCCGGTGACAAGGGTTCGTCTGGGAATACTTTTTTAGCTTATTCAAACTGAACTATAAACCTGATATAAATGTCACCTGACTACATGAACAAGTCTTGAGAAATCACAAAATTAAACTTTAAATTATGGTGGTCATCATAATTCATTCCTTACTTTAATTATCTGTGCTACACCTTGCTCTCGTGTACATGTAAATTTCCACAGGCAACTGTTACGATTTAGCTATGGAACATGATTTTTGAAAATATTTCTTAATGTAAAAAACAAAAAAAAATGTTATATTTTAAAGGCCAAAACAGCTTTATTTTTTTAATTTGATTGAAAAATAAAAAAGTTATGATAATTGATTTGTGTGAATGTGTGTGTGTGTGTGTTTTCATTTTTCCACATCTTGAAACAAATAGTATTGCCAATTTTTTTTTTTCTTTAAAATAAAATAGACAGTCTACTGAGTTGTAATTATTTATGCAAAGAACTTTAAGACAATTATAAACAAAAAATATGCATTAAGATTTTTTTCAGTGTATATCGTTGTTTGAAAAACAAGTATTATAGGATCGGCAGAATTTTTATATCCGAATTGTGGTAAACACTTTCTTTTCATTCTTTGCAAAACAAATGAAATTAAAAAAAAATAGAAATATGTCCATAGGACATGAATGTCAAGGGTTAATTTGTAATGAAACATGAAAATTTGTTTTAATGCATGAAATTTGATGCAAAATATCTTAAATAGTTTCTTCAAAAATGAGTTTTGTACAAAATGAATAGTAAAGTCAAAGGTCATTGGGAAGATCAAGGTAAAACCTAGTCTGTATCATCCAGACGTTTGCGTTTACCTCCACACTTTGTGGAGGTAAACGCAAACGTCTGGATGATGCAGACTAGGTAAAACCAAAGACAAAGTTGATAAATTCGCACCAAATAATGTATCAGTGCATAAGCTTACATAAAAAATATCTTTGAAAC